CTCAAACATTGCTCCTGTTCTTTAGAGAGGCCAGTGAAATGTTTGCAGGATTTACAACTCTATCAACTCTCAAAGATGTTTTAAACTATACATTGGATGGATACCTGTGTGTCATGGCCTTTGCTGGGCTTCCATCGCCGTATGTCTGACCATGAAAACCTGAAGAAACGAGTTCAAATGTAGATTGCGATTTTGTTTTCATTATGGTTCACATATTTATTCTCAAATTAACTGATTTGACTTAATGTTTCATTCAGAATAGATAAGTTTCTTTTTTAATAAGTGAAATACTGTCTCAGTATGTTTGGCTACATTAAACGGAATCCAGAAAAGTGGCCAAAGGAAAAAAAAAATTTAAAAAGAACACAAAGTTGTGTCTCTAAGCCAATGCTGTTAAATTAAAAAAAAGAAGAGGAGGGGGCATTTTCCCTTTTCCATCCTCTTTAGAGCAAATAAGGTTATGCCATTCTAATTCCAAAGCACAGCTACTGATAGAAAAATGCAATGCATTGCAGTATAATGCATTTTACATGCCAGAAAACTCTTCTTGCACCTGGAAAGTGAGTAGCCTTCATTATGGTTAGCTACACTGATTTTTTTGTAATACATACTGTCATCACTGGAATCTTAGTTTTGAGTAACAAAATACATGTTAATAACATTATGGCTCTTTTGGGCATACCGACACTGCTTGGTATCTTTGACAGTGATATGTAACAATGTAAATTTCTATTTTACAAAGACGTATGCAGTAAATATTTTCACTATTTTCCTTATGCCATTGATAAGATTATTTCTCATTTACTTCTGCATTTTCTGTAATCCAAATTGTCACAAATTGTGGAGAAATCGTAGGTTTAATATTCCTTTCACTTTTATGTGGATTGGTTTTTTTTAACATCTTAGGTTCAAACACAATAGCATCCCATTCTTACAAGAATTATTACACTCTATTTAATTGATTTACCTTAGGTGGGCTTCTTGTGAGTTTTTAAGTAGAGAAGAAACCTGAACTAGCATTATGCAAGTGCTTGCATAGAGAACTTCATGTAGGCTACAAATTCAAGCCCCCTCGTTTTTAGTGTCAGGCTTCCAAATCTGAAGCTATAGTTAACTGACAGGTATTTTCAGAAAACAAAGAAAATCTGCCACAGGAATCACTATGTTTATGATGAACTGGGAGGGAAGATTGGTTGGTTGGGTGGGTTTGGGAAGATGTCTTTGGCAATGCTCAGACTGAGCCTTCTCTCAGCTTGACTCCTTTTAGACTTTTTAGTTGTAAATTAGTCAATCCACTCCTTGCACTCTTCACCGTAAAACCCCACAGCCTTAGTTGACTCTGAACTCTCTGGCTTCCACAATGCCTTACTTTCAGGGCTTGGAGATTTCAGAATATTCTGACTCCATGAGCGTATCTGAGTGTACCTCAAATAATAATAATATCCTCACTGTTCTGCGGTGGAGGGAAGTACTACTGTCCTTCCAGAGGTGGGGAATTAACAGTAGGGCTGTGCTGCAATCACTACAATGACAGCACTGTGTGCCTACTTGCCAAGGATTGTTTTTAACTAGTTACCTCATGTACCGAGAGCAAGGTAAATATAGGTGTGGCACACAGAACTTGGCACAGGATGGAAAATTCACCCAGGAACAGATAAAACAGCCAGCCACACAAGATGCCCTTGCAGTAGCTAATTAAAAGCTAGCTGAGATACATGAGGCCATTGTGTATAAAGGAAGCTGAGCATACCTAGCTGACACGCAGACATCTACCATGTGTAGATGTCATTTTCCCAATGAAAACACACCTCATTTTCCCAATGAAAACACACATCACCTGAGATGCTCTCTTCTATACAGTCAAGACATAATTCTTCTTTCATTATCATTAATACTTACCACAGTGGATATCACAGATCTGCAGTGGAACTGAATAATCTACATCTGTCCTCCAGCCCTTTTAAAAGAAAGAATTGAGGCTTATTCCCCTTTCAGCAGATCTGTTACTAAACACTTGTGTTGACAAAATGAGATTGCTTTATTAGTTTACTCAAGTATTGCATTTTCTAATCTGTTTTTAAATAAATGCATATGGAGACCACTGGTCTAGTGTATATTTAGTGAGTTGCAATCACTCTTAGGTTTCTAAATGATAAACCTGATCAGATTGGGGGGGGGGGCAACAGGGGGAAAACTGTATTCTGACAGATAATGTCTTATTTACAAAATAAATGATTTAAGCAGGAAAACATCAATTTTACCACCAAATCTGAATTTTCACTAGGGAAAGAAGCACAGCTCTCATTACCTAGAAGGCTCTTGCCAATCTCACTTTCAGCTTGCCCCCTTCTTCCTAGCCGCTGAAAGTGAAGCTGACAAGGGCCATCCAGGGCAGCTGCTGCAGCCTCGCAGCTCCGGCTGCCAGTCTCTCTTGTCCCCGTGTCTGCTGAGAACAGCAACTCCAGAGAGGAATAAACCTATCAGCTTCATGGTCATTTTCTATTACAGTTGTCTTAATAAAGTTCAGCTATGGAAATAGTGTGCAAAAATGTCAGAAATCATTTGCTCAGCTCTGCTTTCAGGAGTGCTAATTCTAGCACACTATGCACTTACTGTGCTGTTTGCTATATGTCTAACCCTTTCCAGCTCATGGCAATTTTTGAAAATTTTATGTATGATTTACTTGCATCTTTTGATACCTTGGAACTTTTTATTACAAACGAACATATAAAGACAAGATTAGCAATTTCCTGATGATATCCCTTTATCTACCACTGACAAAGGAGCAAGATCATGGAGAGCAACTTCTCTGTTAATTAACATCATCTCAACAAGAGGTGGTGGCAACACATCAAGCTATAAATAATGCTCTTTGTCATCTCCCGTTCACACAGTAATCAGATTTGGCTGGGAGGAGAAAGCAGAGAGAGTGCCTGCTGGTTTTCTTTTTTTTTTTTTAATGTTTGTTTATTTTCTACAGAGTACCTGGCAAAATCAAGACACATACCTGAATGCAAATTGTTGACCCACACATTTCCTGTGACATAGTGATTGATACAGAATCTCCCTGATGAAAAGAAAAAAATTTAAAACTATTATTTTCCTTACTCTGGAACAATGGAAATGTGTTGTGTCTCTCCAGGCCTTTGGTTTGTTTCCCAATAATGCTACATGTTTTACTATGTCAGAGAATTAATAAAGTATATAAACGTTATGGAAGGCTATTTATTTTCAGAGATATCCCCAGATCTCAATGACCATAAGCAGCTGGTGTAGTTTTGCCAAGCACAAGTTGGGCAGCACAGGAAGAAGGCTAATGTTCCTGCATTTTATGAAGCATCGTAAGTCGGGACACCCTCCCCGCCACGGCTGCGCATACCATATTAGCCAATGAGCATCTTCACTTCTTTTCCCTGGTGTACATGAGTTGAAGGAATCACCCTTTCTTTACAGTTCTTCTGGATTTCCCATCACATTGCATGCTGAGAACAAGTTCTGCCTTAGGGTAAAATCATCCTAAATGACTGTTCTGACATTTAACATTTGATTGTTTATGGCTTGTCCTCAAAATAATGTTCATTTCTCCACTAATAGCTGTGAATCCTACACCGCTGTTTTTAGTGTGGCAAGCTCCTAAAATAATTTGAGGCAATTTAAGTGAATACATTCTTCTTCAAGCATGACTGAACAGGGATTACTAGGTGGAGAATGAACATTGGTTTCTGGGAACACAGAGCTAAGTCTTGATGAAAACTTTGTGTATACTGCTCGTGTTGTTGTTGAGACAGAACTGTGTATAATTTTTGTGGGCTCCCATTGTGTCACAGTAGCAGAGGACATAACAGCTTTGTACCAAAGGGAAGAAAACAGCATTTTTTAAATGCATTAATGCCCTTCATGAAACACACACTTCAATACCTAGCTGTGATTTATTGGTGCTCCACCACTACCCTTCTCACTTAGCAGTTCACAAAGGGAGTCTTTAAAACCAGAAAGTCTGAACTCTACAGATTTCATGCGAAATAAGCTGGCTGAAGGGAAGTGCCACTGTAAGTGTTCACCAAGCACAGCGTTTGACAACTCTTCTACCATACAGATCTCCATCTCTGGTGGTAATACAGCATTTCCCCAGATACCTTTCCCCATTAGGACAGACTCTTGACAGTGCCACCAATGCTCTCTGTGGTCTGTGTTGATTAGGATAGCTGCTTTTTCCCACGAATTTCCCCATGATTATTCAGCTCTAGGATCCCCTGCAGAAGCAGTTATCACGTTCCACTTAAGCTTGAGCAGCAAAGCTGAGTTGGAAAACTCCGCTTTTAAAGAGCCACTCTGTTACATTCCTCACCAGAGATGTAATAAAGAACTAAACTGATTCAGAAGATAACTTCCTGACATAGATGGTGAGTGACCCAGTTAGGGAAGGTGCCCCGCTGGACACCGCTGAACAGAGAAGGACTTGTGGGTGATGTGGTGGTTGGAGCCTGCCTTGGACACAACGGTTACAAAATGGTAGAGTTTTTGATTCTTGGAGAAGTGAGGAGGGAGTTCAGCAGAACTGGTACTTTGGACTTCTGGAGGGCAGACTTTGGCCTGTTTAGGAGACTGGTTGACAGAGTCCCTTGGGAGGCAGTCCTGAAGGGCAAAGGAGTCCAGGAAGGCTGGACATTCTTCAAGAAGGAAATCTTAAAGACGCAGGAGCAGGCCATCCCTACATGCCAAAAGACAAGTGGGAGTGAAAGAAGACTGGCCTGGCTGAACAGAGAGCTTTGGCTGGAACTCAGGAAAAAAGGAGAGTTTAGGATCTTTGGAAATAGGAGCAGGCAACTCAGGACTACAAAGATGCCATGAGGTTATTCAGGGAGAAAATTAGAAGGGCCAAAGCGCAACTAGAACTTAATCTGGCTACTGCCATAAAAGACAATTTAATAGGTTTCTATAAATACATTAACAACAGAAGGAGGGCTAAAAAGAATCACCATCTTTTATTGGATGTGGAGGGAAACAGTGACAAAGGATAAGGAAAAGGTTGAGGTGCTTAATGCTGCCTTTGCCTCAGTCTTTCACAGTAAGACCGGTTGTTCTCGGGGTACCCAGAATCCTGAGCTGGAAGACAGGGACGGAAAGCAGAATGAAGCCCCATAATCCAAGGGGAAATGGTCAGTGATCTGCTACAGCATTTAAACACACACAGGTCTATGGGGCCAGATGGAATTGAGCTGAGGGTACTGAGGGAGCTGGTGGAATGCTCACCAAGCCACTTTCAGTCATCTATCAGCAGTCTTGGCTAACCGGGAAGGTCCCAGTTGACTGGAGGTTAGCAAATGTGATGCCCATCTACAAGAAGGGCTGGAAGGAGGATCCAGGGAACTACAGGCCTGTGAGTCTGACCTCGGTGCTGGGGAAGGTTATGGAACAGATCATCTTGAGCGCCATCACGTGGCATGTACAGGAAAACCAGGGGATCAAGCCCAGCCAGCATGGGTTTATGAAGGGCAGGTCTTGCTTGACCAACCTGATCTCCTTCTATGACCAGGTGACCCCCCTAGTGGATGAGGGAAAGGCTGTGGTTTTCTACCTAGACGTTAGTAAGGTCTTTGACATGGTTTCCCACAGCATGCTCCTGGAGAAACTGTCTGCTCATGGTTTGGACAGGCAAGCTCTTTGCAGGGTAAAAACCTGGCTGAACGGCTGGGCCCGAAGAGTTCTGGTGAGTAGAGTTAAATCCAGTGGGCGGCTGGTCACAAGCGGTGTTCCCCAGGGCTCAGTATTGGGGACAGTTCTGTTTATCAAGAATATGGATGAGGGGATCGAGTGCTCCCTCAGTAAGTTTGAAGGTGACAGTGTTGATCTGCTGGAGGGTAGGAGGGCTCTGCAGAGGGATCTGGATAGGGTGGATCAATGGTCTGAGGCCAACTGTATGAGGTTTAATAAGGCCAAGTGCCAGGTCCTGCACTTGAGTCAAAACAAACCCATGTAACGCTACAGGCTTGGGGAGGAGTGGCTGGAGGGCTGCCCAGTGGAAAAGGACCTGGGGGTGCTGGTTGACAGCCGGCTGAACATGAGCCAGCAGTGTGCCCAGGTGGCCAAGAAGGCGAACAGAGTCCTGGCCTCTATCAGAAATAGTGTGGCCAGCAGGAGTAGGGAAGTGATCGTGCCCCTGTACTCAGCACTGGTGATGCCGCACCTCAAACCCTGTGTTCAGTTCTGGGCCCCTCACTTACAAGAACATTAAGGTGCTGGAGCATGTCCAGAGAAGGGCAATGAAGCTGGTGAAGGGTCTAGAGCACAGGTGTTATGAGGAGCGGCTGAGGGAACTGGGGTTGTTTAGTCTGGAGAAGAGGAGGCTGAGGTGAGACCTCATCGCTCTCTACAACTACCTAAAAAGGGGTTGTGGTGAGGTGGGTGTTGGTCTCTTTTTCCCAAGTAACTAGTGATAGGATAAGGGGAAATAGCCACAAGTCATGCCGGGGAGGCTGAAATTGGATATTATGAAAAATCTCTTTACTGAGAGAGTGGTCAAGCATTGGAACAGGCTGCCCAGGGAAGTGGTTGAGTCACCATCCCTGGAGGTATTTAAAAGACACACAGAAGTGGTGCTTAGGGCCATGATTTAGTGGCGGACTTGGCTGTGCTAGGTTAATGGTTGGACTTGGAGGTCTTTTCCAACTTAAATGATTCTATGATTACAAAGTAAGTTCAGCTTTCAGTGTCCACTCCTTTGAGTTCGGAGTTTAAAAAGTCCTTATTCATAGCTGTCTGCTTGTCAGCTACCCCCTGGTATGTGCACCCTGCACACTGAAAGCATCAGAGGTACTTGAAAAAGTCACAGTTGCAGCATTTACCTGCATACAGTAGGAAAGAAAGAAGTACAGCTGGAATATATCCTAAAAAGAGGAAAGGTGTAGGAGCTACAGCATGCTTATGTCTTCTAAAGAACATCACACTACAGCAGAGTGAAGTCAACAGGCATAGTGATAAATAACAATAGGAATCACAATGTCTGGATTTCTCAGCTTTGTCAAAATCTATCATATGACATCTCATATACCTGGCCAGGGGAGAGAACATTTAGGGGTGGACATAAGAGTACTGAGGAGCTGAACCAGCAGGATTCCTTTCAGCATGGTGGTCCTAGTAGCTCCTAGGACCCATCTTGCCAATATTCTCCTATTTGAAAAATAATGCTATGGCCACTCTTCTGCTATTTGACCCCACTTCCCAGGTATACCTCTCACTAGATCACAGGTCAAGCCAACAAGGTAACTCTGATAGGCAGGGTTAAAGGGCAAGGCCAAGCCACAGCGCTGCACTGGCGTTGTATGACATACGGGCTTAGTTGCAAGAGAGGAATAAGGCTCCCATTTCATGACCAGCTGCTGCCTGAAACAGAAATCTCACCCTCCCATAATCTTTTCCCTGTCTCCCCTGCTTTGCTGGAAGCAGTTGTGTAGTCACACAATCAGCTAGCTCAAAAAGTTAATTTGGCTGAAAACTTACCTTTTTTTCCTCTGTTGAGTTTGTTTTGGCAGCTGTGAGATTCAGAGTGGCTCAAGATCATCATGGGTTTATGCCTCAAGTGTTACATTTCATGATGTGAGATTTGCCAGGTCAGCTGTACCACTGACCCATGTATGAAATACTAACACTAGCATTTGCTGTATACGTAACAGAAAAACTACACCACAAAAATTACGTTAAAAGAATATTAAGGTTCCACTCAATAGCCACTTCCTTTGATGTGACTCATTTGACTTCAGGATCCTTATTTATTTCTTGTTTCAGTGTGAGCTCAGCATTAGAACTACATGCTTTAAAAATGTTCAAGTAATTGTTCCAGTATGTACATGCATGTGTTTATTAATGCTTTCAAGCTGCAGAGCGATAAATGGAATAACAAATGAATGCAGTTAGATAGGTTTAAAAGCCTTACAATGTTTAAGAAATAATATATACAAACCACAGAGACTGAATGGTGCTTCCCAACAGATTCACATGAGGCCAGCTGCGTCCTGTTACACACAAGCACTGAGAACTGTGCCTTGGTTTGGGATGTGAAGAAAACTTGTATTTGTTCTGCAGCTGCAGCAGTTCTCATTTTCCAAGCTGATATTAGGGGAAAAGACTTACTTTTAGATGTACAAGGACCACATATTATATCCTAAATTGTTATATTTAAAATAACTGTCTTTTTAATTTGTTAAGTGCCATCAAATGATACACAAGTCATTATTTTGATTCCCACAAGTTACTTTTTATACTGATAAACACTTGATCTACTGGGGTTACACAGAAGTAGCAAGCTGACAAATCCCTTTGCCATAATTTACAAGCACAGTGATGTAAACACATCTCGCTTGCTTACTGGAGAGACCTCATATCTAGTGACTGATTTCAATATTTTTCACAATTTAATATTATGTAATTAAAAAAATATATTTACCTGGAAATTCTCCATGAGCAAATGGACATTTAACCCAAAAGCCTTGCTTGGTTGTAAACTGAAAGCAGAGAAATCTGTTAGGAAAATCAATTTTTCAATTTCAATATGTGGCTACAGATTCAACTAGAGATGATCAGTGCATTCTAGAAAGTTGCAGAAGGTGAATTCACAACTTTCCTGTATCTTCCAACCCTTGATTTAAATTAGGTCCCCCAATTCTTCAGATATTTATGCACATGCTCATTTTACAGAAACATGTAGTACCACTGACTTAAAAGGAATCTAAAAGAAAATAATATTCCTATATTAACCTTACATGGCTTTTTTTTCTCAACTAGAATAAAAAAGGGTGCTCCAGTAAATGTAGTGTATTGATCATTTTTATTACCAAATATTTAATATGGAAATCTTTATATGTTAAATTTAGTGCGTGCTTCAGAGTTTGCATTGACCCAAAACATATTTTCCCTTTTCTTAAGCAAACAGAGGACACAATCGAACCTGTGTCCTACCATTGCTGCTGCACCTCCGAAGAACCTCCTTTTAATCTTATCTTTCAGATTTCCTTAATTCTTACTTCCCATTCATCAGAGCTATGAAACAAAATATTGATCCTAAAGAACATTAGCAAATCATTTTTTTTAGAGCTGACAGAAAGAGGGCAGTTAATAGTTGTTTTACAAAGAAACCCCTTTACCTTCATGCAAAGTCTTGGGTGAGTGTCCACACGAGAATATTTAACCTGCTTGAAAAGAGAACACTCAGCATTAGCTAGTTTCATTAACTGATTTCACAGAATCAATTACCCAAAATGTTCATGGTTTGATTACTGAGAAAGGAACTGGTTTGTTTGCTTTATAAACATCCTAGGAAGTTAATCACATAAAATAGTAAGAATAGAAATAATCTCTACTTTGGATTACTGAATAATTTGCTTCTTTTTATCTGTAACATTTAGCATTTTTATCATCAGTCTAACAAATTAGAACTAAATTAATTGATTCTGTGGTGGCTTGTGTGCAAAATTCTGATTACACAGTCATCTTGTTTCAGTCACTTATTTACCACTTATCAACAACTCAGCAGAACATTTAAACATACACCCAAAAGTGTTGTTCCACCTTCACTTCAGAAACTTTTCAATTTTTCATATCCCTATTCCAGAAAAGATTTAAATGTAGACTGAATTTTAGACATCCACTTAAGTGACCTACAAAGTGTTGCATTCTTGATTAACAACTGCTTACCCGCCAAGGGCTTCAGCATAAAAAGCTTTGTCTCATATAAACAATTACTACCCATGTAAGTGATCTTACTTAAATAAACACCATTGCTCAAGCGACTGATCACAATGGACCCTACACACAACACATGGCATCATGACCAAAGTAACACCTCTTTCCTGTAACTTTTTTGAGACGAACATAATGGATGTCCTCAGGTATGTCTACAATAGGCTCACAGACGATAGTTCTGTAAGAGTCCACTCAGATACTGGAGACAGCATTGTCATCAACAGAGAAAGCCCCAACCTAATTAGAGAGAAGTGTTGTGTAGCTTTTGGGCCCAAGTCACTACATGCGTATGGTATTAGAGTGTGCGGCATTGTGTGGATTTACTGGGGGAGCTGACACTATGTGAGGAATCTCTGCAGTAGTCTCCGGCATACTATAGAGATCTTCAGGGTTACAGCACAAGAAATGGACTAAATTCGGTATCAAACCTTTTAGGATGAATTATGAAAAAAGGGAAAATTCATTCTGTCCATGAATATTAATAAATACAGGAAAACATTTATCATCTGTAACAAACTAATCTTGGATTGTATTCCGGGTGATAGATATGACCATTACCAGCCAAACCTCATTTTAGGCTTCCTTCTTTTTTTTTTCTTTCTTTTTTTTTTTTTCTCTTTTCTTTTTCTTTCCTGCAAGCAATGAATTGTGCTTGTTGTCAACAGATCATGAGTCCCACAGGGACTGCTCACATGTATAAAATTAAATGTATTTGGTTTTGCAAGATCAAAGCTTTGTTGAAACCCATAAAATAGTGGTTTATTTAACAATCACTAAACAGTTGGCCAGGAGTTCCTAATCAAAAAAGCATTCAACAGTCTTGAGTCAGCCCCCCACCCAAAATAATGTCATCAGAATAATACTCATCAAGTGTCAAAAATTAAGAATTTGTATTTGATTTCATTTGCCTTTTCAGTTGTTACCTGAAGTTTACTGGCTTTCTCCACATTCAGGAAAGCTGAAAGCTACTTTTCAAGATGAAAGCCAGAATTCTAACCAACCTCATAACTCCAGTGCATTCAGCATCATTAGACTTCAGACTGCAGTATTAAGCAGTTCAAGATACATGCAGTGAAAACTCTTTTCAACTTTTTAGAACATAAGTGGTGGAAGAACTGAGGAACCGGATATTTCAATACCCGCTATTTCAAGACATTGGACCAGTTTGAGGAACGCACTTCAAAGAGGTCTGAATAGAGTACAAACCAATCATGCCCTACCAAGGTACCGTTATGTCTCCAGTAAGATTTAAAGAGATTTAGCTTCATTTCACTTACATTTTAGGTGTCTAAATGTTAAATATCCAAATATGATCTAATCATAATAGGCTCTTGTCATGGTCAGTGAAGAGAAAGAGGCACCTTCAGAGAGAAAACCTTCCAACCTTTCTTGCATGCCTATCTTCAGATGAGAAGAGTTGTCCTCTCAATATGTCTGCTTCATTTACTTACTTTAAAGGGAATCTGAGATGAATAGCGTAGACTTGAAGACCTATCTTTTAGACGGCAAAGTCAGGGCAGATGAATCATGCCTTTACTATAAATGAAAAGCAGACCCTATTTACACCAAAGAATGCAGCAAACGTTACTAGCTTCACAGTCATCTCCACTTTTTATTCCTTAATAATGAGTCATTCAATATGAGCTCTTTGAATAAATCATGTGGTTAGTGTACCAGAACAGACTGTGATTATGAATAGTTTTATGTATCAGAGAAGAGAGGAGTTTGCAACAGCTCTTATTCCAAAGTCTAGTTCTTCACATTATGCCTTTGGTCATGGCCTTCAATCGCACAGTTTTAATAAGTCTGCATAGCTCTTACTTTCTCAGTAGAATTTTTTGAAGAGTTTTGTATATCTTCACAGTGGTCATTAGGCTTCATTAACCTGCATAGGTTAACCGTGACAAGCACAGGACAGGCTGGCTCCCAAGCTAGGGTTTGTGTCGCTGGGTTGTAAACAATATTATCCCATAGCACCTTTGTATCTGTGCACAAAGAGGGAAACATTATTCAAGATGTCTAAAAATGAATCGGAATTGTTCATAAACCTGGTACCTACACATGTGCTTAAAACCAAAAGCATTGCTTTTCCATTTCCTTTTTATTTTCACCAATCAATTAGAACCGCAGTGTTTCACATTGTAACAGTGTAAAACTTGAATTCATCCCTCTGAAGTGTTGGCATTTACCAGTGGTACTCAACCTAGGAGCTTGGTTTTACCAGTCTCCCACTACGGTGATAGATAGGCATCACCAGGGAATGACGCCTCAGCTCCTAAGTCGGCTGCACTGGAAGTGTGTTTTCTGCCCATCAATCACAGAGGGAGTATAACGCAAGAGAATTCCTAACCAAGGACCTTCAGTTAACTGTGTATAGTAAATTGGAATTAATCCATAGATATTAGTGACTAGAGGTCATGGTATTGGAGACTCAGACTCTGTGTGTCTTGTAGGATTTACATGCACACAATGTATATGTAAGAAAATAAATTTAAGCCTTTAGCTGACTATCAAGAACTCCAATAGTAAATAAAGCTATACAAGCAATTCACAATAAATAATTTTTCTACAGCATTTATGTAGATCTTCTTTCTATGTATGCTGGGCACACCATAATCTCAGAGCTAGTCAACATATATTTGGGGATATCGTAAATAAGCACTATTATATAATAAAAGCTGTCTGATATATTTGATTCGTCAAACTAGTCACTTCGTACTGACTTTCTTTTCCGTTTACCTGCACATAGATTACAGAATTTCCAGCATGAAATTCAAACTGATATTTCAGCTCATACATCAAGAAGTAATTTGGAAAATTTTACGTTTGCCTAGTAGTCAGAAGTAGGAGAAAAATATACTTCTGCAGCTATTTGTGAAGCAAAAACTTGAAAACATGGCCAGTTGGATGTTCAAGAGGAGTGAACAGACAATACCCATGACTAGAAAATGTAGCAAAGTGAAGAAGCACAATCAACACCAAAAAATGGAAACAACAGGTGTCCAAATTCAACACCCATGAAGCATAACAACAATTCCTATTGGTATTGCTTCTCTCAGAAATGTCCTGAAATAAAACCTTTTGATATTTTCTAATAGAAACCTCCAGACCCTTTAATTCTGCCAAATCTCTTGCTGTCTTAACTTTGTGTCCCAATGTATACACATCAAAATACTGAAACTTTCTATGAAGTATAGATTTTTATTCTTCATTATTATTACAAAAACTTCTGGAGATTTTGGTATTTTTTTTAATGTTGTTTTTAATGAATGGAAATGTACCATAAAGGTAATGTTTAGAGAATATTTAACCTGACTGCAAAGCCTGCTCATTGACTTATTTACCTGTGTTTCTTTCTGTTTTACTCCTTTGTAGCATCTGCTTATTTATATCATGATAAAGATGCTCATTCATCTTCAGTCTCATATAGTTATATTGTTTAATAACCAATAGACATTCTTTTTTCCTTTTTTTCTTCTCTTAGTTACATTAACTCAAAAGAGTTATTACACAGAGAGGCTTCTTTCTTATACATAACTGCTAATGACCTCTTACACAGAACTAAATCTATAATCCCAACTTTATTGCATGAAAGATAAATAAGCCAAAAAACAAAGAACCAATTTACTCTAGATATTCCAGCAGAGCTGTCAGTTAGGAAAAAGATTTAAAAAAAAAGCAATATGTGGCTCAAAAGCTGGCACTCCTTATATATTTAAATTGCTGGATGCTCGAGTCTGAAAAATTGCTTGAGATATCTGCAAGGAGGATAGCTGAGTAAACAAAAAGCATAGCTGTAAAACGGTGTTTCCCGTATTCACTCCATTATCAAAGGTATAAGTTAAGTTTTCGATTGTAATTTTCCATTGAAACTTCCTGAATGGACAGAAATAAGCTTCAAGAGCTTCAGTGTGCCAAAGCACATAATGTCTTTCCTCTGGCTACATAAAGCTTTGTAACCTATGCTTCAGCTACGGTGACACACTGGCATAGGTTGCCCAGAGAGGTGGTAGATGCCCCATCCCTCTCCTTGAAGCCCTCTTCTCACATCAAGGTCAGGCTGGATGGGGCTCAGAGCAACCTGAGCTAGTTGAAGATGTCCCTGCTCATTGCCGGACTAGATGACCTTTAAAGGTCCCTTCCAACCCAAACTATTCTGTGATTCTATGATAAAAGGGCACCAGAGAGGAGAATGACTGTAGTAAGAGGGAAAGGAAAAGAAACAGAATACAGAAGGAAAGAAGGAATCATCGGATTCATGAGCTAAATTTCCTGCACTTGCAAAGCATAACCATTCCAAGCACAGGAAATAGGTAAAGATAGGAGAAAATTTGGAAGAAAACAACTTGTGCCCCATGAGACCCAGCCTCAGGCTGAACAGCTACTAAGAATACAGGTGAGGACTTCATACTGTGGATGGCCAATAGGCTTTGTTTTGATGACCTTAAAGCGAGATCTGACTACATGACAGACACAGCTACAGAGCTTAGCATTCTTGTAAGTCTCTCTACTGCTTAAATAGAGAAAAAAATTCCCTTTTTATTTAGTCAAACTGCACTCCATTGCTACAAAGGAATGGTAATGTCACAAACACTATATTCTGCCACAGTAAAATAAATCAGAAATGAAGGCTGGGATAACCAAAGAGGAAATTGCTTCCATTTTAACAGAAATATGTCAGCCCTGCAAGATTGTGAAAGGATTGCAGTGAATGTCTATGCAGTTTAATGGAGTTTGGATGTGCTATTGGATGGGTTGGTGTTTTTATTCTTTTTTTTTTTTTTAATCAAATACTAAAGTCCCTTAATGGGCTTCTTAGTAAAGTCTGGGGAAAAAATATTATTGTGCTTACATTGGACTTAACACAATAAAACACTTCTTCAGGTGATGCTTTTTTCTATCTGCCTGGTAAAACTTTCACTAAAGACCTATGTAATATGACAATTTCTTTTTCAGCTGTCATCTCAGACCAGATTCTGACTTTGCTGGAACACTTTCTGTGAATAATTTCCCATTAAGTATGGGAACTCCCATATGCAGTTAACTGTCTTCTTTTTCAACTCCCTTTTCCCTCCTTTAAGTTGGGTGTCAGTCACTTTCTTCAAATCTCTCCTTGAAGCCCTCTTCTCACACCAGCATTTCAAAGCTCTCCTCAGTGGCTTTTCTGCCTTCTGGCCAGTTTGCATGGAAAATGTGGGAAATGACTAGAAAGTTACTTAGTGTTTATATTGGCATAAACTCGGTGAACTTTTCAGTCTGAAAGTAAATTATTTCATCTACCCACAGTATAACAAACCAATATGACAATTTCCTTGAAGTTTTGCAATGCATGATTTTCACCTTACATGAATTTCAAATTGTGACATACTACTGGAGCTGCTGAAAGTCACTCATATAAAGAGTAATCACACAATACTTGCCATTTTCAAAGGGGCAAAGCTGTATCCTCCTTGCATCTGGAACTGCCAGCCAACCCTACAACCCAGAAAGTGGCCATTAGCTATAGATTCTCAGATACACCAGTTTTTAACATTTAAGACAGAATGTAGCAGAAAACATTTCCACCAAAGATAAAGATGCTATGTTTATTAGAAAGCTTTGGAAGTAGTTTTTTTAAAGAACGTTTTGCACTAGATACCTATTTTATTGTTCATCATTAGGGGATTGGAGCTGATGAAATAAGGTGATCCCTTCTAGCACTATATTCCAACAATTTCTGAGTCATATATTTAGCCCAATTTCATTGAGAAAGTCTTTCAGTTTGATTTTCATTAAGTTTCTTACAGTGTCATTACTTTCTAGGGGTATCAAAAGACATTCAAGAATCAGAATATCAGATTTCCTGGCCTTTGTTATGGTAAAGGATGTACCCTTAAAATCTGAGGACTAACACTGAACCCAATCTGCAAGTATATGTGCATGGCTGTTACTATACCCTAATTATTTAGACTCATGCGCAAATGTTTCTGTTACTCACAGTTCCCATCTGCTTGCTGAGCAATTGTATTGTGGAATTCTCTGTGTCTATGCTGGGAGGAATAATATCTTTCCAGTAACCTCATACCTTTCACAGTGGAATAAAAAAAAATCCCTAGGCTTGGAAGAGACCTTGTGGTTCAACTCACATATATTAAGGTATGTGATTTTAGATGCCTACAATGTACACATCTGAGTGTGAACAAAATGCCCAAATTACTATTATAGTAGCCCTATGAATATCTAACCAATGCAGCCAGTGGAGTCTACAGTGCTATGCAGCACATCCCAAAATAGCCATCTACATTTGGTCAGTTGAGTAACTGACTGCATTAATTAGATCGTCACTGACCATAAGAGTTTGAACATTTAATTCCAATGTAGGTATCTACATCTGGACATCTACATTTAGGTATCTTAGTCTGCAAGGTAAATTCTACCGCAAAATTCACTGAGAAACTAGGTCACATAATATCTTTATATCTTACCAAGATCATTTTAAATTGGTGACTGTTTTTTTAATGAAAGATATTCCAAAATCTCACTTGTCAGATTATCAGGAAAAAATCTGTAGCTATCATGAATTATTCATGGAATAAAGTTTATCCCCCTTCATTCTTGTGGCAAAAATGACGTTAGCTTAAAAAATCTGTTCTTTTTCCTTATGTAACCCTTCTCATGTGTCAACAAACATATTCACTTCGCATGTGTTTTACCAGGCTATTGAAAACATGTTCTTTGAATCTCCTTTGTGTGACAGTCTCTCCATTCACCAGCCGTTCTAGATGGTACATCTTCCATTTGGATTAATATTTCTTGAATATGGACACAAGAATTGCCTACAGTATTTCAAAGAAGGCCTTGCCCATACTTTGCTGTTAGCTTGGAATAATCTAACCCACTAGACCTTTGTTCATATTTACATCATTGTGAGCATGTTAGTTTAATCATGCTGCGATGAACTATTATACCCAAATATTTTTCCTCCACTCTTATTTCTAAACGAGGACTTGCATCTTACAGCAAGAATTCTTTTTATTAGAGCAAGTGCGTGAACTTGCACTTTCATCCTCCTGTAGTTATTTTACATATTAAAATCTCTAGTCTCGTCTAATTATCCTGACCCTCTTCCATTTTGATTACACCTCTCAACTGTATTATCAGCAAATCTCATTAACACGTTCCCACCTTTTGTGCCCATGTCATTGATGAAAACATTTGTATAAGAAGTTGTTTAAGTGTGGTCCTTAAATAACCTTCCTACAAGCACAGCCCCATTCAACAGGAGTAGTCAAGTTAGCCCTCCAGCTAGCTATTATCAACCATATAAATCTTGTTCTCACCCCCAGCTTCCTCAATTCTTCTTTTAGTTTCTCATGCAACACCATATCAAATGCTATGCTGAAATTCAGTCAGATTAAATTTTCTGTCTTCAATTGCTTATAAAAAAAACAGGCATATTAATCTTACACAATACTTTCCATAAATTAATGTAAATTGTATCCTATTTTCTTATCTCCGTGTTTTAATTAGTGTTTCCTAAAAAAAATCTCTTCTACATTTACATAATCATAAGGTCAGACAAGCCTTAGTGAAAAACTTAGGTCTAGAGCCTTTTTTCTACAGATTTTTCCTCCTTTCCTAGCACAAAACCCAGATAAAATTTCTTTAAATCAGAAACACAAGTATATACCAAATTCCAGACAGTATTACCTCAATGCAAAGACAAGGGAGTAGCTGAGAATATTTCAGAGAAACAGATTTTAAAGATTCCTTCCCTTTTATCTGAAATGAAAAAGATGGCCATGAATCCAGGACATTAAATGACTTTTAATAAAGCTAGATAAAGATATAGAAGGGCATTTCCTATAACTACGACCTCAATGAGCATTTCTACCTATAAGCCACCCCCCAACAGTTCAACAAACTGCTTTGAGCTGTAACTCACCACAGCAAATGCCCCTACATCTTCACAGGTAAACCATTTGTGGCACAGACGAACGTAATAATCTTGATCTCGAAGAAAGTTGGATACATTCACTGATATAATTTTCCTTGTCCTGTCTACATTATAATCAAACATTCCAGCTGAAAAAGAAAATTCAAGCATGACATTATCACATCTGTTTCTTTATTAATTTATTATTTCTGATTTCGTTATTTCTTTATAAAAGGTACAGAATATATTTCATAATGTGATGGAGGTGAAATTCAATATCTATAGATTCTTACCTAGTATGTTTGAATTAATTATTTTATAGCCTGATATTCCTAAAGGTATTCTTATTTTATGAGATATAATAATTTTCGTTACAATAAATTTCAGTGTTATTGTCTTAAATTAGCACTGGCAATACTGAGAAGCCAGGATTGTACCTCAGCCTCAGTACTTGAAATGTTATGTGGTTCATGTACAAATACTTAAAATACACACACTGATACTACCACAAAAGCTGATTATCCCAAGGTACCAATTTCTTACATAGAGAATATGTGCAACTATGTTAGACAAATACAATATGTGGGGGAATATTTTATTTTTTTTAAATTCATTGGTATGCCAAAATCAGGATAGCAGTTTGGTAAATTAATTTAAATCTATTTATGAGGTCTGTCTATAGACCATAGACTATAAAACCAGCAATCTGAAGTGCATGAAAAAGACACAAATCTATTTCCAAAAGTTTAAGTATTAAATAAGTTGTCAATATCTTTATCAGCTATCTAGCATTTCCAAGACAATATAAAGAAACACATTTTCCAGGACATTTGGTATCAACTACACGGTAATTATAAGTACTGGTAGTTGTAAAACACAGGTTTTCTCCCTCTCATTGAGCTATGAAAACGTATCGTATAGGTCACCAGAAATATCTCACAACTTTAAGTTATATAGAAGATCAGCTCACCCGAACAAGCTGAAATATGTTTTCCCACATCACTGTTTCTGCAATCTGCAAAATAGAAGCCAGAGTTTTCTTCAGTGCTGCTTTATTTGTGTAACTGTGTAAATAAACTGACAAATGGTCCAATAACTTCCCAACAGGAAACCTATCTCTTATACCCCTTTTTAAAGGCAGATTTACATCCACTTGTAGATAAATAGCAAAAAAGAAAAGTACCCTTATCACAACTTGCCTTAAGGAACTATCTCACCAGTGTGGGGTTTCTACTGGAAAACCTCATCAGCAGTTTCAGGTGGCAATCTAGGATATAACAGTGCACTTCTTTACCTAGTGCCTAACAATAATTTAAGTAATAATAACAATGATAATAATAATTTCAGTTATTCTTTCCTTGAAAGCTGCTCCTGTTGCTCACCAGGCTTATTGCTCTATTATAAACAACTGTCTATTTTTGCTATTCTAACTCTATTCTAGGCTTACAAAGGAACATCCTATTTAGCTCCCAGGGAGCTTACCGGAATTGGAGGCCAGGCAACACTTTCAGAACTAACACCTAGTATTTCTATCTATCTCCAAAACTTAAATCTTGATTTAAGAATACTAAATCAGTCCATAATATGCTGCCTACTGTTTTCACGTCTCCTTGCTTAGCTCAGTATTAGAGCAGCACTCTGCTCTCATTTCCCCACACAGTTCTTTTCCCGAGAGAAATATTTCCTATTTTCATTTGTTTACTCACCTTTGTAAAGCATCTTAAAACTGTGCATTATAAAACCTTATTTCCCCCCCTCTTAATTAATAAAGTACACATCCACTTCAATAGTGAATCAGGATTTATCAAGAAAATTAAAGGCTTTTTAAATACAAAAAGGCTTTACTTCTATGAAAGAGTGAAACAGCCACAACGCGTCTGATACTGTGTGCAAGGGATGGTACAGTACCAAGGGGCAAGGGCAAGAGTCACCCACCCACAGGCTCTGGAGATGGGAAGGCAGGACAAGCCCGGGCACCAGACCAAACAAGGGGTCTCATTTCATTTTTGCAACACCATTTGGTGCACTTGTCTTCACTATCCACACTGTATCTTGGTTGGAACACAGTGCTGAATCTCTTTTTATATGCACACAGTAGGCACCTTACTCCAAAAACATGGAAAAATGCTACCTTATCTTATCCAGTTACATGAAAACAGGCAATAGAACAGCTAGCTAATGAAAGTAAAAAGAAATTTCTTTACATTTTCTTACTAAGCTTGCCTCAATCTCTGAAACCACCCGTGGCCTAACCATGAAGAGATGCAGAGGCTCTATCTTACGCACAGGGAGCACACAGGACTGAACTGCAGGCAGAGAAAGAGGGCATGCCGGACACAAGAAGGTCAGTTAGGACAAATGCATAATGTAGTTCAGTTTTCCATGTACTTTTAGATATAAACTCTGGTCTCTGTTTTTTATAGCTAGTCAGACATTTCTATGCACAAAATAAATCATTGAAATGTAGAATAAGACTGGTCCTGGCATAGGAGATCTACCATCAGTTAAATCAGTGTATCCCAGAACATGATTTGGCTTTGTATTTGGGGGGTTTTTTGTTTGTTTTGGGTTTTTTTCTTTGAAAAGGTGTTTCTTGAAAAACATTTGGTTTAAGGTGTTTTCCTACCTTCAACGTAGTATTCCTGACTCAGCTTGACTTCACAGTAATTTGGTACTGTTTTCATGGTCACGTAGATGTGTTGTGCTACATTGACTTCAATGCAATTGAATTGTACCTGTACCTGTTTAAAACATTTATAAAATCAAGTTTGTGTGTGACTTCCAGAATACCTGAAAACCACTGGTTACCAGAGTTAAGCAAGCAATATTCTTTGTTCAGGTTTATTGCTATTTACGAGGAGCATTAAGCAGTCTCAGATAATACAGCATTAAGAATGTAAAAGAAGCAGATGCCATTGAATGAAAGGATTTCCAAGCATATCATTACTTCTAATCTAGGATGTTGCTTTCAATTCCAGAAATCCAAATATCTACAAGCTATGAAATAATACTAAAAGCATAGAAATACAGGTACCCGATGCTTATTGAACTTCAAAAGCAAAAAGGTCTTCCATACTACCAAAAGTCCTAGTTTGTAGGTGTTTTACAAGCACAAACACTTGCAGAATAGGGAAAAAAGTCTGTTTAAACATTTAATGACAACTTCAGCAAATTTATTCATTCCAGTAACAGTTTGTGAGAGAGAAAGTAATTTAGGAGACAAAAGTCGGGGTCCAGTTACAGCAGGTCATTCTCTCACTGCTAGCAGTAATTATTAAATTCCATATAGGTTTTCATGTTGGATATACTCCTATTTGGTAGAAGGCATTTGGAGGGTACAGGACAGCTCATGTCACCATTCTAGTCACTGAACCGAAACTAAGAAAATTTCATTAAGTGCGTTTGTTGAGTCTTGCCTTACCCTAAAAGCTACCAGTTGTTCATTGCTGGCCCCGCATTGCCTATAGGCACATTTGATCATCAAGTGATACAGAGCGTAAACTGCAACTGCAGTCTGGGAGAAGAACTTTGTTTCACATGTGCAATCAATATAACATTTACAAAGCACATGAAGTAACACACTTTGTATGGGATTAATAACAGTTATCCACCAGTAATTGGAAGCAAAAATTCAGTTGGTCAAGGATGGTTTTCTTTCTTTCCTAGTTGCGTATTTTAATAACAAATACTTCTGGGTTTAGTTTAGTAAAAAATTGTACTCTGCTTTTGCAATTATTACAATGACTTCAGGACAGATATGCACAAGTGCTTAGGCACTTCGCTGTCTTCTAGAAGTGTAAATTCCATTGACATGGTTGAACTTAAATCATATTTATGTACTTAAAATCCCTGTGGCATTATGCTTCCTAGCAATTGGAGTTACAAAAGCTTACCCACGATATGGTGGGCAAAAAAAGAAAGCTAGCAAGATTGATATGAAAATTCAGCTTTGCAGAGCAGTTTCTCTTGCAAAAAGGTAAAGGCAAGAAGTATAAAAATGGTGGAGAACTGAATTTATAGGTTATAAAAGGATATTTTGTTATGAAGTTTCATTTGACAATGCTGAAGCATAAATTTCATTGCAGTTTTCCACAAAGTCAATAAGAGAAGAAAATGAGAGATACAAAATATTTTTTCCAAAGGCTCATAAATGTTTAAATTAAAAACAACCCAAAAAAGGAGTCTACCTTCTTTCCATTAAGCATCTTGCTTTTTTTCCTAGCAAATCTCACGTTCGTGCACTGAGATTGCTGTGTGTCCAGTGAAAGAGAACATATTTCCAGCCCACGGATATTTTCTGAAATGAGTTAGGAATAGATTTCAAAAATATAATTTGAGCAACTTTAAGAAAACCAAAAAATAAATTAAAATATACCATATAGTAAGCTTTCCTTCTAAGTGAAAGGCACATCTATTTTATCTCTGTTAAAACAACACACACACGGGGGTAGTAACAAGGATTTAATATAGATCGCTATAAATTAAAGCTTTAATTATGCAAATTCTTCTGTAAACTTAAAAAATAAACCTATTAATTCTGAGTGAAGCACACCAGGAATTACCTAAATGGTAACACACTAAGCACATGAATGGCAGGGTGTTAGTAAAAAGAGACTATGCCTAAAATGTTTGAGTGATTTAATTTTATTTTAGCGCAGAATTGTAACTTCAGACACATAGACTGTTTCTCCTTCTGTTGGGGCAGTCACTCATGTCTGAGTTACCAAGGCAGACAGAATTTGGGGGGCGGGAGGGGGAGTGCATGTGTGCATGCACGCATGTCAGAGCAAGAAAGAAAAGGGCAGCAGTATGCTTGGGGCACTGGTAGAGGACAAGTTAAGTGTATTATGTTGGAAGCAAAAATTCAGTTGTCTTAAATTCATTATCACAGTTCTCATTCCCTTGAGAAGGGCCATGTCTTTATTCTAGTTTGTAGTAAAATGTGGGTACTGGGGGTCCTGGGGGATGAAAAGCTGGACATGAGCCGGCACTGTGCGCTCACAGCCCAGAAAGCCAACCGTATCCTGGGCTGCATCCAAAGCAGCATGGCCAGCAGGTCGAGGGAGGTGATTCTGCCCCTCTACTCCACTCTGGTGAGACCCCATCTGGAGTCCTGCATCCAGCTCTGGAGCTGGATGAAAGACATGGACCTGTTGGAGCGGGTCCAGAGAAGGACCACAAAAATGATCAGAGGGATTGAGGACAGGCTGAGAGAGTTGGGTTGTTCAGCCTGGAGGAGGCTCCAGGGAGACCTTACTGCAGCCTTCCAGTACTTAAAGGGGGCTTATAAGAAAGATGGGGACAAACTTTTTAGCAGGAGCTGTAGCGATCAGACAAGGGGTAATGGTTTTAAACTAAAAGAGGGTAAATTCAGACTAGATATAAAGAAGACATTTTTCACAATGAGGATGGTAATACACTGGCACACGTTGCCCAGAGAGGTGGGAGAAGCCCCATCCCTGGAAACATTCAAGGTCAGATTGGACAGGGCTCTGAGCAACCTGGTCTAGTTGAAAATGTCCCGGCTCGTTGCAAGGGCATTGGACTAGATGACCTTTGAAGGTCCCTTCCAACCCAAAGTATTCTATGATTCTATGATAAAATGGTTTCACAAAAAATATCTTTCTGATATAATTATGTGAAAAGAGCTTGGACACAAATATTGCAATATGGAACAAAACTTGGCTGAAAATCTATAAACAAAAAGTAAACAGAAATTATTCAGCAGCAAATCTACTTCCTACCATCCAGACTCAGAGTTCCTTTAATGTTTAAATGAAGAGAGCATGGGCTTCCTTGGACACATTTCATCACTGTTGAGATCTTCATGCTTTTCAGTACCATAGAAGATAAAGATGCAGGAGCATCATGGCAGAAGCTGTTAAAAATGTCATCTGCAATGCAAATACAAAGACATAGAAATCTCATCGTGCACAAGATATCTGGGGGAGAGAAAGCACCGAAGGTGAATCTCCAGCTCTACTGAAATCAGCAGGAACCGACTTCAGCAAAGCCAATACTTGACCTGAGACTTTCACATGGCCAACATAACTAGTTGGCTTCACTAGCAATGCAGGGGGGTTGGAAAGAACTACACTACAGATGGCGTTTGATAATAAATTTCCTGGTTTAGGGAAGTGTTAACCCACAGGAGGAAGGAGTCACACTTCTAACAGTTAAGACTAGCAGAGCACACCTAGACTAAGAATGTTTTTAAACAATCAAATCTGCCAGATTGTGGCTAGACTAATACTTCATTTAAACTTTTTTTCAAAACCATTGCCTGTGTGCTGTGAGCACTCTCATAGGTAGTATTTTAATTTTAGGGTTGGCTGATGGTCTCAACTGCTGTTAAAATATCACTTTCACACAAGAGGGCACCATTGCATTCCTAGCCATGGAAAAATCCCTCACACCTACAGGATTTCCTTCTGCTTTAGACCAGAACAGCAAGAGCCGAATAAACATTACCCAGGCCTTCTTCAAGGTGCAAACAATAGGCAAAGAACACAACTACTATGTCTCATCTTATTTTCCTATATAAATTTAGTCATCCCAAAGCCTTGGGACATTGGTTTGCACAGCCTAATGTAAAAGAAGAAAAAAAAAACGGTCCTAAGACCCCAGCTCTCATCAATTAGCCATATTTAATCTCTTGCTACTTATGAGACTGCCTTGCACAGAAATCAGTTATTTATTTATGAATTTATGTTGGTACAGTGGATTTAATCCCCAATGCATTCCTTGGGCTTTTCTACCTCACATACATTGTTTGTAGTCCCAAAAATTAAGTTCAAGAAACTATCAGAACAAATAGGCAGGGAATTGGGTTTTGTCCTTTGGCTTTGCAGTATGCAATGCAGCACACCTCATTTTAGCTGCAACTACATCATAGCAATTTCTTTGAAAGATTTCTTCTCACTTTGGTACATAGCATAAAAGTTAAAAGACACCTGAGTAAAAAAAAAATATTTTATTGCACTTTCTCCTCATCCTGGGGAGAGGCTGGAAGAAGAAAAAAAAAACATTTGACTCTTATTAGTCATACTGCTTAACATATTCCTAAAAGGAGTTTAACTAGTATGGCAAAGAGCATAGTATGAAACAGCAATGCCACAATACTGTGCTTGCTATAAAATACAGGATAACATTCTTAACTCATCAGGAAAGGGTGCATCCCTCAATGTCTAGCCAAGAATTATTGTCCAGTGTGGATATCCATTGACTCACATGGAAGATATGTCCACAGTTCTCACAGATGAAAGGTAGGATGTGGAGGAGGAGGAGGAGGAAGGTCAAAGCTTATCCTTACTTACCCCTCCAACCCCTCCAATAAAGTACTCTAAATTTAAAGATTGAAAGTGTATTAACCTGTACAGGACCTCTTTCTATATTATGAGATCCTCACTTTCACAGTGTCCAGTTGTAGCCGAAACCCATTTTCAGGCATTGGATACTGATACATGCAGGATGAGAAGATAGGCTGACATAAATGTGGTACCTTGGCTTGAATCTGTCAGCTCTTAAGGTGCCCTCATACTTGGTTTTAGGAGAAATAAATCCTGTGTGATACATATCAAAAGTCAGAAAAGACAAATGCTTCACACCTGAATGTCCACTCCATTATCCTGGTTTTGTGCCATTAAGCATCTTTTGAAGGCAACAGGGTATGCTGGTATGAACCAAGTGGAAAAGAATGGAAAAACAAGGACACTACCACAACTGACAGTAAAGTGAGCTCTCAACTATCCAAGGTAATATTTGTAATGAGAGAAGACAATTTGTGCAAATCAAAGAAAAACCACAGATCATTCAAAATATACAAATTAGGCTTTAAGAGCTGTGGAGTACATTGACTTTTGCAGAATTTGTAAACATGTTTTCACAGAGATGAGGTAGTCTTAAGAAGTACAGTGCACATCAGCCAGATGCGAACGGCATGTTCCATGTTCCAAGAACGGGTATTGTAATAATCCTGAAGGTATCTCAGGGTGGACGGTTATTGTACAACACCCAATCAATCCACCCACAGTTAATTGGGAGGTTATTATACTGCAGAACTACCTGATAATTATTACTAACAATGTGGTAAGTGATGCTTTAGCTCTGTTTCTTTGCTCAAAAAGATATTTTCTTGACTGCATCATATGACATGCAGTTGTGGATACCAAATGGTATCCAGGAGCAACAGTTTCTGCTTAATTCTTTCGTTGTTGGTGTAAATTTCTTGATCCAGGCCTATAACCTTGCCCATTCCTATGTCTGTGTAGAAATTATTTAAGGGAAGAGCAATGTATATACGCACACACACATTGTCAAAGCTGACAGTTCTTTACAAAGTATTCTGTTTGGGTGAATTTGACCATATTATTTGACGCTACTTATTTTTAGGGGAGACTGTCATGACTTAATTGAATTCAGTCCTTAGTTAGTACTGCCTGAATTATGGTATTATCAGATGTCACAGGTTTGGAACTAGCTCAGGAGAATCCTAAATCATACCTAGGTGGATTATTGACATTGACATTATTGACATACCTAGGTGCATTATGGACAGACTACTGTCTGTCCATAAGCAGGGCCACTGTTCCCCTTGATCACAGTCTCTACCTTCAAACTGAGAACAAACAAGTAATACACTGGATAAAATGAAATTACTCTTCCACTTTGGATTTTTTCCCATTAATTTTATGACACATTTTGAGAACTGCAAAAGATGCTGTAAAATTCATTAATAATAATTTAAATGGATCATATCATGCATGAGGATATTAGTTTTGGATCACAATAAATATATAATACAAGGAAGAGCTGACAGAAAATAAATTTCATTCTCTATCTGTAAATCATCACTCATTTCTGACTAATTCTTAGTAAACTCTTACCTTATCATCATTTAATCCCCCTCTTAGATAGTTTCCTCTGAAACACACACCTCCTTCCTTTTCTCACCAGTAGTTTGATGTACACCCCAGAAGACAAAGATACATCTTCCTACACAAACCATCTGTTGAGTAAATCTTGCCTAAATTTTATATTTATGAATTATAATTGTAATTAGCCCTACATGAGAGAGGGATTGTTGCTGTAATAAAAGATTCCTTAATTATGGACACATATAAGCCCAGGCATAGAGAAGCCAAGGCTTATTATTCAGCATGTAGACACTTTTTGTACTTTTGCCATCAGCTCAACCACAGCAGATTATTTTTTTATCTGATAATGCAGCAATCAACCCAGAACTGTCACGACAGCAAAACACACCTTATGTACACTTGTATAATAGAAGCCAGAGCTGAGCAATGAATAAGCAACAGAAATGATTAGATGGATATTTTGAAGCCTCAAGCAAGAAGATTAAATTGGAGAACAGCAAAAAAAAGTTGCAGAGAAAACCCATTAATAACAGGTCCAGGCCAACACCCAATGGAAAATCCTAAGTGTTTTTTTGTCTGATTTTTCTTCCCTACAAGAATTGTAAGAATTCGAATGACTTAGGATACTGACAGTGCTAAATCTGTGAGCATATCTAAAGCACACTAAAATTGCTTCACTGGAGCATCATTCCATGAGTATAAATTACAGTAGCATTTCAAACCTATTTGCATATGATTTACCACAGTATCTGCTACATCTGTGCATTATGATGATTCAACAAACTTCATAAACAACCTAGATATGCTCTCCTGAGATACACACATTGTGCACTTCAGTTAATAAATACCAAAATTCACTGCTTAAAAGTACTTACATCAATTATGAAATTGATTAAATTTCGGGCTGACAGCCCAAAATCCATTTCACAAGAGATTTCAATGCATAATAAATTAGAAGGGTTTCACAGTTGTACGTTGAGAAAGTATTTCAAACCTTCAAGGATAATGGACAACATGGTGATATACTGTGCCAAATCCATTTTATGAAGAATGTAAGGCTTTTTTAGAATCATTGATGTATTGATATCAATGTCTGGATATATTACAGTGAACTTCAAATACTACAGTAGCCCTTATGTACTACTAATACTCTAGAAGAGCAGGAGGGAGAATGCAGAGTCAAAGCTATGTTGCCACATACTACTGAGCTGATCTGCAAATTCTGGGAAATAAAGTCACCTTTTTGTTGCAGCTAAAAGCAATGACTACTGCAAATGTGCTCTGTTATACAATCAAGGTCTTTTAAGGTAATTTTACCTCAAATAATAAATAATAAAAAGAATGACTACAGAAAAGGAAGTATGGAAATGAGTATACACCCACTGTTGCACAAGTGAATTAGAACGAAGACTAAAAAAATGTTTTTTCGTCACCCCTATAAGACTGAGTCATCCTACATGTTACTTGTATTAAAGATAGCTGATAAGTCATTTTCAGGCAGCACTGAAAAACTACAACCAGCTCTGCTTCATGTACATCATCTTGAAAGATAAGGATCTTTAGTTTACAAACTCTTCAGTGACCAAAGTCTACATCCAGCTAAGACTTAAACATCTAGTTTAAGCTTATGTGCAACATCTAAGCACCTTTAGCAATCAACAGAGAGGAAGAACCCCTCTCGCCTCCCTCCCAGCACACAGTTTCACCTTGTCCTAAGATGGAATGAATAGGTGGAATGAATCACCACCTCGTGGTACCTGTAGTGAGTCTCCACTATCTAGATCTGCATTTGTGTAACACCCAGCACAGATTTTAACTCCAAAACCAACAGTATTGCAAGTGTCCTTCCCTTTGAGACCAGGGTTGAAGGGTTTGGTTTTCTCAGCCTGTGCTGCCTGAGGGCATGAAGGCATGCTTCAGCTAGGCAGAGCAGAGGTCAACACCCCTGTTTCTTCTTCTACGACTCTC